ACAGACGGAGTGTTGCAGGAGCACAATAGGGAAAGGTGGAATGTAATCTGAAACAATTTCCCACTTTCTATAATTGCATAAATGTTGAATGATCTTTTTTCTTTTGTGTGGTTCTTTTGTCAGAGGTATGAGGAAGGCAGGGGGAGGAGAAAAATATCAGCGGGGCAGCCAGAGAGCAAACAGTACAAAAAAAGCTGGGTAAGGAGTGGCATGGAGGCAACACAAAGAAAGGAATCACAGGAGAGAAAACCATGTTGATCCATGAATTAATGGTGGCTGATCAATAAGCATGGAGGCACACATGGCTCCTACTTCCATACCATGAAATCACAATCTGCAGCAAAAGCAATGTGCCCATGACTGCCGCTTCTTCCTCTCCCCAGTTGCACAATACAGCACATTTTCTCTTAAGCAAGCCTGGGAGCCTGTTAAATAGTGGGTTCCATGGATGAACAGACCACGAGCCTAGTGATCGGTTCTACTTTATTCGTGATTTCAGCAGTAATGGCTGTGTCCTGGAAGCCCCCTCAAAGTCCTGAGATAATTTATTTGTATGAAAGGATCATGACTCAGATTGTTGGTGTTCTTGAATTTTCCACAGGGAGCAAGGCATCCCGGTGTGGTTTGATAGTGAATGTCTTAAAATGAAAGCTCACCTCCATGCAATTTACCAGCAGTTTAGAGAATTGAATTTAGGTAGTTTGCCCTTGGAATATTTTGAGATGAAACATCTACTCAAGCAAACCTTCTGTAGTAAGCAAAGAGCTTTAATTCAAAACCAATGTGACCAGCTACTCCAGGCCACAATAAAAAATGACACTAAGAAGTTTTGGGCTTTGGTTTCGAACTCCTTTGGAAAGAGGGAGGTCATTTACAATCCAATTTCAGTTAATAAATGGCACAATTACTTTCTGTCAATTTTCTATAAGGCCAGAGAAAACTCAGCAGAGGACCCTGCCCTAAATCTGGTTAATTGCCCTGACTGGCCCCCAGTACAGACTGAGAAGGTAGAATCTCTTATTCAGGGCTTTTTTTGTAGAAAAAGCCCAGCAGGAACTCATTATCATAATAGGCTACACTCAACAGCAGAAACTCATTAGCATATTAGGCCATACCCCTGACAGCAGTTTATTAGCATATTAGGCCACACCCCCATGCTACCAGAAGTGTGGTCATCCAGCCACACCCATCTTTTGCTTCTTATTCTATTTACCTTGTTTGTTGTCAAAACCCAGGGCTTTTTTTTTTTGTAGCAGGAACTCCTTTGCATATTAGGCCACACACCCCTAATGTAGCCAATCCTAATGTGCTGAACTGTTCAAGGAATTCCCAGATAGGTGGGCTCCCTTTCTGGCTGATCTCTTCACAGAAATTGATAGGAGTGGAATTATGCCAGAGGCCTGGACAACTGCAATGCTGGTCCCAATATTTAAAAAGGGAGATTGTCAATCACCAGGCAACTATAGCCCCATTAGTCTTTTGTCCATTGCTGGAAAGCTCTATGCAGGACATCTAGTTAATAAACTTAGAACTTGGCTGACAGAACGTCAAATTTTGGGGCCAGAACAAGCTTAATTCTCAGTCATCTTGCTAGTGAATACAAGAAAGCACAGGGCTCCAAACTATTTGCGGCTTTTTTGAATCTCAAGGGTGCTTTTGACTCTGTTCCAAGAGATTTGCTTTGGAGGAAACTCATAGTTTATGGGATCTGTCATGATCTGGGCTGTGCCACCAGAGGCCTACTAGGCCCAGGGAGCCTGGCTAGCAGTAGGTGAGGCTGGACCTACAGCACCCAGAAGCCCCTGAGAGGTTTTGGAGCCAAAATTGACCAATGGGGAAGAAGAGGGCTGGGGAACAAAAGAGCTGGTGCCAGAGCAGAAGCTGTTCTTTCTTCCAGAGGGCAGAGCCAGAAGGAAGGCTGCTGCAGGAAGAAACCCTCATCCTGAGGGAAGGGTGAGTAGTCTAGTGTCCCTTGGAATAGTGAGCTAGGGACAATATAAATTTAGACGCGTTAGGGCATTTGATTTCTTTTCTTTTCACCCACTTACTGTTATTATTCTGCACCTTGTTGTTTGACCTCCTATAAAATAAACCTTTTCTGTGTTTCACTCTGCCTTGTCCTCATGCCTGTTATTCGGCCTAAAGGGAGGTCTGAAGATCTTGGGAGGGTACTCTGGGCCTTCTCAAGGGAACCTAAATCCAGAGTGGTGGCAGCGTCAGGTGACACCCCACCTGAGCCGTGACAGGATCAATCGGAGATTGTTATC